CCCCAATCTGGCAAAGAAAACAGTCTTCCAGGAAGTCCAGGAAGCTCAGAGAGTCCCAAAGAAGTTGGATGCAAGGAAGCACAGACCAAGGCACATTGTAATTACATTATACAAGATTAAACAGAAGGAGACAATCTTAAAAGCAGCAAGAGAAAAGGAGACAGTTACCTACAAAGGAGTTCCCATGAGACTGTCAGCTGATTTCTCAAAAGAAACCTTTCAGGCAAGAAGGGGTTGGAAAGTAGTATTCAAAACCATGAAAGGTAAGGACCTGCATCCAAGATGACTCTATTCAGCAAACCTATCATTTAGAATGGGAGGGTAGATAAAGTGATTCCCAGATAAGGTCAAGTTCAAGGAGTTCATCATCACCAAGCCCTTATTATATGAAATGTTAAAGGGACTTATCTAAGAAAAAGAAGATCAAAACTATGAACAATAAAATGACAACAAACTCAGAAATAACAACTGAACACAAGAAAAACAAAACCAAAAACAAACTAAGCAAACAACTAGAACAGGAACAGAATCACAGAAATGGAGATCTCATGAAGGGTTATCAGTGGGGAGGGGGTGGTGGGAGAGAGGGGGAAAAGGTACAGGGAATAAGGAGCGTAAATGGTACAAAATAGACAGGGGAGGTTAAGAATAGGATGGGAAATGGAGAAGCCAAAGAACTTATATGTATGATTTATGGACATGAACTAGGCTGGGGGTGGGGGAGGGGAAAACTCTGGTGGGAGGGGGTGCAGGGTAGAGGAGGATTAAGGGGAGGAAAAATGGGACAAGTGTAATAGTATAATCAATAAAAAACACCAATAAGAAAAATGTTGTCAAGTAAAGCCATTCACATACTGTACTCATACATAAAGACCATTTTTAAGAGCATTCATTTTTCACTTAAAGGAAAAATGTCTATGAAACGGGTTTAATACTGATTAAATGACTTCCTGATGCAAAAATCCCTACTGAAGGTTGCTTAATGGAATTTTTTTTAACTTTAGAGATTACACACTTTTCAGCCTAGTCTAGCTGGTCAGCTCATTTGAATAGAAAGGTCTAACTTATTGACAAAGGTGGGACCGAGACTATAGCCTAGAATATTCACTATATTGAGAATCCGAGTCATTGAACATAAACCCATTCCTGGTATTCAAGTAACTGATAAATCTGACTTATTCTCTACAGGAAGCAGTTTGCTATCATTTAATTGATTAACAGTAGCTATCTTAGTTTGTAAGGGGTTAAATTTATAAACGACATTATAATTCATTTACATCTAACTAAAAAGATCTAATATATTTAAGCACGCTGCCTCTGATACAAACTTGCTCTCTACAGAAATAATCATGGTCTGTGTGTGCCAATCTTTTTATTTCATTGCCCGTCATAAATCCGATGTGGAAGAAAGGTTACCTGAAATGAGAGGCACTTAAGAGTAAATTTTGAAGTGCTGTTTTAAGAATTAAATACTATCTTCTAACACTAGGCAAAGGTTATACTACCAAGAGACTTGCTTGGTCCTTCCAGCTGATGAAGCAGGAGAACTGACCTTTGACTCTCTAGGGTGAACCAGGCTTCACCTCGTTTCTTAAACACTTGGAAAAAGCATCAGCTCTGAAATTGTTGCCCCAAAGGCATTTGTCAGTATGTGAAAGTCTGTGTTATTTTCCTTTGTTTTGCCACATCCTGGGGGGATAAACGCCATGCTTTCTTCCGCTGGAGCTGGGAGTGCACCTACTTAATAGTCCCCCATATTAAACAAGAGTTAAACACAGCTGCCGGGCAAAGGGTAGGTAAAGCATGTGATTTTCCTGTCTGGACTCCTACGAGCCAAGCGTGCCCAGAGGGAACTCCCACGGAGAGCTGGTTGACAGTAATTACTTTTTCCTGTGGAGTACAGCAGAATTAAGGCACGGTTTCTCTACAGCTTTGTGTATTAACAACTCTCTACGATGCGGACATTCTGATTGTCCAGCAGTGTTGGGAGGGTGTTAATAAAAACTCGGTCGTGGTTAAGGACCCTAAAATCACATACACAACCAATACATGGTTATCAGAAGCAGTTTAACAACTAGCCTCCCTCAACAAGGCTTCTGGAATTTGTGAAAACGTAAGACAACACTGCAACACCCAAAGAAGAAACACATTTCTGTTTATACAGTTAAAACTTGCAAATATGTTAGAATTTTATATCTGTGAAAAAAACTTATTTTGTAACAACTCCAGAACAGAAGTCAGATTGGGGGAGTCGGCCAGGAACAAAGGGATGTAGAAATTTTGCACTTTTCCTGGGACCCCTTTTGTCTACAGTCCCCACCCACCTGGTCACCTCACCCTTCTCCCTTCCCTTGATATATAAAGGCATGAATTTTGGGTTCTGTTAGGATGTTTATGGTAGAATGAGGGGCCAGAGGGGAAGTGAAGGCAGGGAGGAGGCAGGACGCAGGTCCTACCCACTGACTCAGCAGTCCTTGAAATTCTATGTATCTTTTCCACTATCTGGGAAAGAAACCTTTTGAAACTCTGCTTTCACCTCAAGGCCTGAAAGGCTGAAAAGGGCCCGTATGCCTGAAGGAGGAAGCCCATTAATACCTTTGGGTACTCAGGCACCTGGAAAGCTGGCACCACCTTTACCTGTCAATCAATACGTAACCTCTTCCCCCTTCCCCGTCCAGTCAACTACATAAGTCCTCAGCACAAAGGAGTCTGGGGCTCGGCGCTCTTGGCTCTCTGGCCACTGGGCCAGGCTGCCCGGCCGCAGGCCACCTGACCTCTGGCCACTGTGCACCCACCACCCCAGCCCTCAGCTGCTGGCTTGTGGTTGTCCTTACATTCGACATCCTTACCCTGCTTCACTCTGAACCTATGCCTTCCACCCTCCCCACCCCCACCTTAGCTAGGTTGTTCTCTCCCAGGAGAACAGATCACCAATAAACCCAGCTTGCACGCTAATAGCCTTGATGATCTTTAATTCTTTAGTGCTGCATTGGTGAGAAGAACCGAGTTTCTGGGAGTTTCTCCTATGACTGGATGGATTTGAGAATTAGTTCTATCACCTTCTCTAGCCAGGCCTCCTCGATCAATAAACCTTTCCCTGCTTCAGATCCTGAAAAAAATATCATCTGCTCTCACCATGATCATTTTAAAGGGTTTGGAATATTTGAAAAGAATTACCCAGAGTCACATGATGAATTAGTGACAAAGCTACTACTAGAACTCAGGTTTTGTGACTATACCTTGACATTCATAGAGGTGTTTCCCAAGAGGAAATTTGTTCCACTGAAAACTTAATCCGATGACAATTCTTAACTCAAATACCACTTTAATATTCACCAGCCTCAAACCCCTCTACCCTAGTATCGTTAATGACAATATCGCCAAAAGATACAGGAAGGACACTGTTCTTTAGAACTACCACGTGCAAGTGTTTAGGGCCTTGCTCTAAGAATTAAAACTAAAACAACCCTGTTAAAATGCAGAAGGAATGAGTACCTAGGTATCATTCTAGTTTTTTTTGTTCTGAGAAGTTCACCATCAATATTGCTAATTTGAAAAACATGCTTTTTCTACTGGAAACTGGACCAAGTTAAAAGGGATGGTGATGATCAAACAGATCACTCTAATAATCACATTTATGAATGAATGAACGTAGAATTTGTGCGAAAACAAACACCACCCTAAATCCACCAGCAAGCATCATACCACAAACTCTAGAACCTCAACAGGCCTTTCCTCCTCTGGTCAGGGGATACCGTGGGTCCAACATGCACCACGTCTGGAGTGGGCTGCGCCTCTCCTGCCCCGGATGGTGAGTCCATAGCAATTTCAGGGTTGCAGTGAGGAGAGGCTCTTTGTCTAAGATTATTAGGAGATGTTCACACAAAGAGGAAAAATGCAGAATGGCGCCCAGCCCTAGAAACAGTAAGCATGCTTCTCAAGGTAACAGCTTGGCTTTACCATGTGAAAAAGCCATGCAACCAAATGTCCTTTTAACCTAACAGGGTGAAGCCATTTCTGGTCACATTTCCTGCTAACCCAAAGAACAAAGACATCTGCCTCCACTCTTTCTCTCTGTAGGCCCTGTGCATGGGGGCCACCATACACTTTCAGAATTTTTTACCAAATGGTTATCTACTTAAGATTTTAACCGAGGCATTTTTGAAATTCAATACACTCTTTTTATACTAGCTTAGTGCCTGGAGGCAGAGTGTGAGCGGGCAGAGTGGGTACCTGCCAGACAACCCACAAGCAAGCGCGCTGGGTTAAGGGGCTGATATTTCCCAGTCTCGTTTGCGTGGACCAAGGTGGTTGGAAAACTTGATAACAGCACAATTCAAAGAACAAAGAGGGTGTTTCACTTTTTGATCATGTCTTCTTAGGAAATGTAGAATATTTCACTTTACCCTACAAAGTATCTCAGAAAGAAGGCTTTTGAACATTCCCAGCAGGCACACCTGGCCGTAAGAGATAAATGGATGCTCAACAGCACATTCTAAGGGACACTGACGCCCTCATGAAGGTTTTTGATGATACTCATCATGTGAGGGTCACATCCCTACTTCCTTCACATTATCAGAAATTTAAATTGGTCTGTGTCTCTAAGGAGGAGAGGTGATAAAAGAGAAAACAAATCAAAGGACTAGGTATCAGAGAAACAACTTTTTAAAACTTGGACACTTGAAAACTGTCCAGGGACAGGCTCTCTGTTCCCACCACATGGCAGCTGTGCTCCGACTTAACGGTGACCCAGAGGGAAGTGTGTCTGTACTAGAGAGAGACCTTCGCAGTTCCAAACACCAGCGAGCAGCCCGCCTGCACGGGCAGTTCCGGATGAAAAACAACGCCTAAATATAAAACACAAGACTATACATCTCTGCTGAAACAACTGCTTTGGAGATGAAAAAATATTCTCCACTAAAAGAACCCTCAAATTGTACTGAAATGTTAGCCCCAATTAAATGTGTATTTCATGTTCTATTTAAAGGGAAAACGCTTACCCATAAGCAACTCCAGCTATGGTGCACTTCTTAAACTGCATTACATTGCACGTCAGAGTACCCGTTTTGTCAGAAAATATGTATTTTACCTAAAAAAAAAGAGTTAAAAATTTCTCACTAAATTTCAGAAGTCTTTTCATGCCATTCTCTTATGTGGGGGGGGAACCCTTAAATTATTCTTTTTACCAATTTTGTCACATCGTAGGGGCACAATGGAATGCTATTAATTGACTTCTGTCTGCATATTAAGGAATATGTTCAACTGTAATTTCTCAGTATTTTAGCTTTTCATGTATGAACATTGAAGACTATCGAGATATTAGAAAACTATGGTCATACAGAAATCTGCCTTAACACGGTCTGAATTTCCATGGGAAAGTAACTTCAGGGCTCCATAACATTTACAGAGCACTAAAACATTGATCAGCATGTCTCCACATATTGGGTTGGCCAAAAAGCCTGTTAAGTTTTTTCCTATGAAATAAAAGACACATTTTTCATTTTTACCAACAACTTTATTGATTTGGATATTCTGAGTATCCAAATTGATTCTGAGTATTGGCTGTCTCCTGCATGGAATAATGTTGATTATTCTCAAAGTTAATGTCTTGAATTGATCGCTATCAACATCACCATGGCTACCTGACTGGAGCATTGTCCAGGGAGAAGTCTCCGGCACGAAACTCCCCAAACCACTTTTAACACGTTTGATCAGTCACAGCATCTTCTCCTTCTACTGCATACATCTTTTTTGGCATTTCAGTTATGTTTTTACCTTTCTCAAAATAATAAAGTGTAATATGCCAAAAATGTTGTGTATTTTCTTCCATCTTTGATATTAAATGGCTACACAAAAATCTACCAAGTTTGATAAGTTTTTTTAAATGAATGCTGATATGACAGCTGTCAACTACAACCTAACACAATTGTTTTTGAATGAAGTTGAAGACAACTAAATGCTACCAGAGCTAACTTATGGAAAAAAACAACTAATTTTTTGGCCAACCCCAATCACAATTTTAGACAGGCAATGGCTTCTGAAATTAACTTCATATAGCATCTGAACTGGTAAGGAAAAGGATAATTCTGGTCTAAGTGCTATTTGAAAAATAAGAGTTAGCAAATGGCAATGGTACAAAAAAGAAGAATTTTTTTCTTAGCCAGTACAGGGTGGAGCAAATGTAGGTTTGCAGTTGTTCACATGGAAAACAATACAATAATTAGTAAACAATAATATAAGAATAAACTGTTTTGTGTACTCATACTGTAACCTACTTTTGCCCTACCCTCTGTGTATAAATGGATTACAAATATACACATTTGTGTGAATGCTGTATGAATTATAAATCTAAGTTTCCTGTTTGAGTACTATGACACTTCAATTTACATAACTTCATTGATCAATTTAACTTTTTCTTCCTTTCTGGTTAAAAGCTATGATTTTGAAACAATTTATAACTCAAAAACTGCCAATATTTTGCTACTTGTCAGATCATGTACTGTAGGACATCTCTCAGTGCAATACCTTATTTAAGAGTAAAATATGCTTTAAATATTTTTAAAACTTCATTCACTAAAAATTAAAATTAATAGTTACGTATTAACATGAATTCATACTGATTATTCAACCAATAGAAAATGAGAAGCTGTCAGTTTGTAGGAATTTGCCACATATGGCAGAAACGACAATGAACCCGAGTTCCATGACGGCACATCAAGGAGAACTTCTGTTTACCTGGCCAAGCTCCTCATTCAGGTTAGATGTTCGAGCCATAGCAGCAGTGTCTGTGGGTTCATAGTGCATGTCGAGATCCTTTTTAAAAATAAAATAAAATAAAATAAATCATCGAATGCAGTTGGTGACAGAAGATAGAGAGAAATTTTATTTTAACTGGTAAGCTTTGTACATAACCACTCTCATCTCTTGCCATCTCTGTACCATTTCGGCTGATTTCCCTGAGCAGTACCCAGTACAAAACATTCTGTTCCACAGTAAGGGCAGGACAGTGTGGCAGCTGGACCGTGTCTCTGGAATCCAGTGAACTTGGTTCACTGTCATCCCATCATTTCCTAGATATTGAAATAACCGTAGAGATGACATAAAATAATGTATTTCCTATGGTGTCTGACACAATGTAGTGCTTAATGTGAGCTAAAATAATAGCAACTAAATATTGATAAACTAATTACAACTTCACATCCTTGGGAAAACGACCTAAAATATTTTATCTGGTTGAACTTTCTTGGCCGACTTTCTCACACTGTACATACCTGAAAGTATAATGAGTATATTCTCAAAAACCAAATAAAAATGAAGTTTTTATACCAATCTGTACTTATTTTTCACCCAGAATTATAACAATGAATCCTACAAAAATTAATCTACTGGGCAGATCTACTGGGGCCACTGGGCAGAACCAGAACCAGAAGGGGGCAGTTACTTATTGTCCTTCCACCCAAAGAATAAGCCGCCTGGTGAGGGACCAGCTCTTCTGTCAGGGGTGTTCTGAAACCTCCGCACGTTAGAGAGGCAGTTGAAAGGCCTGCCGGGTTCACTCAGCACTAAAATGATGTAATTGTTTCAAGCAAACATTATTTTTGGAAATCCAAATAAAATAGTAAAGTGATTGGCTATTTGGTTTTCATGATTGAGTATATTACTTTCTTACTATAAGTGGAAAATCTTCAATAACTTTTAATTGTATTTATGTGAATTTTATTACATAATTTTTCAATAACATATTCCCTGCATGAAATGAGCTATGCTTACAGCCCATTTTAGATTTCTGAATTATACTGATCTTTTACGGGATTAAGGGATTGGCAGTGGAGATGGATAACTTACTATGAGAAGATAATGAGCAGTTACTAAAGTATTGTTGGTTATAGTTTCAAAAATCCTAATATTGTTCTTAGTAAAAAACTTTTAGGTGATTTAAAAAGAAACATCAGAAGACAATACCCAAATTTCTCAAAATAAAAGAAAAATGAAACTTTCAGGCAGATCAGGCCTAGTGATTTATTTAATTTACATGAATTTATTAACTTTAACTTTGGTAACAATAAAACTGAGAAGGAGCAACATATTTTACAAACAAAATATTTAGGAAACAGATGTTCAGCATATTTTCTCAAGAATAAAAAAAATATTTAAGGAAAAATTCAAGCACAGATGAAATTGTTTATAGTGTGGTAAAATAAACTACATAGATGTATAAAACATGTCAGACACTCTGGTTGTTACAAGTAGTGAATACAGTATTATTTTTATAGTGCTCAAGTGTTTATGAAGCTGTCTGCCATGTTGTGAAATTCCTTTGATGTATGTAACCGCTGGGAGATACAGGTGAAGCATGTTCATCATGGCTGTGTGAGTGTCCATGGAAATCTGTCTCAAAGAAGTCGAGTGGCTCGCCAAAGTTCACACAGCTAGTAAAGCACAGACCTAGAACTACAATCCAGGTGTTTTTAACTCCCAACCCCATGGTTCTCCTTTTCCCATGGACCACAACGTAACTCAGAATAGGTTCCTGAACTAGAGACCTATTTTCTCCAGAGGTCTGGTCTGTAGACATGTGTGATTGTGATGAGAGACTCTGTTACTGATTTTCACATGTCAAGTGAGTTTATTAGAATTATATTAGGCTCGAAACTATTTTGAAATATTATCCTGTACTCAATGAAAGGTAAGGTACGATTAAGATTTTTTTCTTTTGACCCAGAAAAAAAACATGTTTAGAGTGACAAAAACAATGATGACTCATATTTACCCAATTTATGAAGTATGCCTGAGTAAATTTCACCACTTCCAGTGTAACCAACAAGCTGATAGGAATGAGATTATTGAAAAGGATGATGAAGGTCAAGAAATTCAGCCCAAAATTATTAGCGCCACCATCTATTGGGGAAGATGGGAGGAAAAACATTTATGGTTTCATATATTTTATTTTGCATTGACCAGAACTTTATGCATAATAATTTTTCATATTGTACAGTATATCATAGATAGTTTGGGAGAAATACTGTGTTGCTAACATCCTTATTCTCAAATAAATTCTTCATGATGCAATAGCATTATTTGTATTCAACATGGTGTTAATCCTATTAAGAACTGCATAATGGTACTGAAAATTTAAAGTATTGCTAAGTATTTCAAATTCTGTCCCAGACACAATGTTTAGATATTGTAAAGACAGGGCTAAGAGTTTATAAATGAAAAATCTTAGCTGTGTAGAAACACTTTTACGTAAGTTCTCAAAAAGCACCTCTAATTTAAAGCATGTCTTGAAAGCAAGCATACAAAGCAGAACCAGGAAACTAACCCAAACAGCAAACACAACACAGGGCTAGACCCCAGGTAAATCCAGCCCCAGGTAAATCCCACTCTTCCTGTTTAATCATGACAATAAAGCAGTTAGCCCAGACACAACGTAAAGTATTCAAAGAAACAAACTGACAGTAGTTGTAACAGTTCTAAAGTTGAAATAGTAAATCAATGACTGTTAAAAAACAAAACAAAACTTGGAATAGCTGCAAAGCCAAATCAATATAATAAAAAATGAGTAAAAAATCAATTTTTGCCATAAGATTTTACTAGAACTTATCTTTACACTTTTGAAAATTAAGTATTTTATTGGTTAAGGACTCATCAAAAGGCAATGCTCACTTACTTCCCAGAAATGTTCGGGGACATTAAACCCACAGGAGTGAAAGGATACATGCCCCAAAGGAGATTTCCTGGCACATGCCCGCGGACAAGGTGGCCATCAACACGGAACTCACCGCGTTCATGAGTTCAAATGAAAGCACACTCAATTTAAACATTGAAAAAATATGGAATCTACTTTTGGTGGGTTAAATGTACTCAATCTGCTTTTTTTACCAGATAGCTATCTAACTTCCTGTATTAAGATATTACAATATTTTATAGCATTGGTTAACATAACATTAACAAAATAACATTTTATAATATTATGAAGTGCTCATTCTATTTTTAAGGATTGTGGAATTAATTAAGATGAGAGAGACAGAGAGAGAAAGGAAGAGAGAGAGGGAGGAACGTTGATGTGGGAGAAATATCGACTGGTTACCTCCCGCCCATACCCCAGCTGGGGACCAAAGGCACAACCCAGGTATATGCCCTGACTGGGAATTGAACCCACAGCCTTCTGGTGCACAGATGACGCTCCCACAAACTGAGCCACAATGGCTGGGTGGATTCTGAAATTTTTAGAGATGCCACATTTTACTTACTTTTACTGGAAACTACATTGAAAAATAAAGCCAATGCCCAGTTATCTTGGCAAAAATGTTTTCTTTTAGAGATAATAGGAAATTCCAAGAGCAGCTGTGAAACAAATATATGTTTTGATGAAAGAAAAATATCAATAAGCCCATGAATGCTTACAATTTAGATTGAGGTACCAGTCCTTCCCAGAATGCCTTCGATTCCAAATGGCTGAGCCCACAGAACAGATAAGGGACATGGCAATTAAGATACAAAATAAAATCAAAATCTGCACATTTGTAATTCGTTCCACATTTGAGAGTTTAAGTGGTGGACTTGTTGAATTCTGTAAAAAGAAACAAGATGAGTGATAAGAAATGTGTACGATGATTTAGTAATAGGTATCTAGTATATCGATGAGTATGACAAAGTCCTCATCAAACTCAAAATCTAGACGGGAGTAGACATCTGAAAATTATGCAGATAGCAATCACAGATGTAATATAATAAGCTGTCAAAGGTTAACTGCCTCTTCTTCTAAGGACCACTACGTCACCTAAGCCTTTCTCTAGGATGTCAAACAGTATTAAGAGAAAGAAATAACATTCCTTTTGTAAACATAGCTTTTGCAGTGTGGAAGGCAAGATGAACAATGTGTACTGGACCACTTAACTAAACTGGGTGGACTAGAAGCACCCAGCTTGCATCTCTGCTTAGGAAGAGAAGCAGAGAAGGGAGCCTGTGAACCCACAGCTTGGGAATTCAAAAGTACGAAGGCAACATTTTAAGGGACCCCTGGGTTCCAGATTTTAGGTGGCATTCAGTAATTGTTTTTACTGAATACAGCAGCCAAGTAAGCCATCCCGGTTATACAGCATCACAGAGACAAGTTTCCTCAGATGCATTTAATGATAAAAAATGACTATGCTGGATTTCTGCTAACCACAGCATCCACAGGACACAAAATTAAATCTGTCATAATCGATATAAAATGCAGAGTCAATATAGAATTTACAGAATGATTAGGGATGGAATCATTAATAGCAGTCCTGCTTGCCTAGGGATTATATCTTCCTGCCTTTACCATATACAAAGTTATCAATCAGTCCTGAGAGCCGATTTTCATGTCGTGTCTGAAAACTGATGTTCCCACACTCACGTAACCACTGAATATGGATGATACCATACAGTAGAGAAGAACACCCACAGACAGGTGTAAACACTGCACGTGGCTAGGATTAGGCTGATTAAAAATGGCCTAACACAGAAATGCTATGAAGCAGTGGTCAACATTTGCTTTACGAGTTTTTCTCTTAATTTTACAAAAAAATGAAAGTAAGTTCTAACATTTGATCATTCATATTAAAATAAAAGTATAAGACAAATACTCAGTGCAGAGCACTCGTCATCACCCAGACGACGTGTGTCTATCACTGCGATGGGCAGGAGATGCCGCCAGTGGACCGATTCACAAGACCACAGACAGTGCATGCGCTGGGTTATCTCTGCTGGAACACCCCAGTGCTCGGGCCGCGGCGAACTGCTGCACAGCGTACTCACCAGACAACGAGACTCTGGATGTACAGAGTGGGGCTTGGGCGTGTGTAACAGATGGTTTGCTACGTTTGGGACCACTGAACCGAAAGCTAACAAAAGACACATTTTCAAAAGCTTTAAGTCCGAGAGGTTTGCACAGATAAAAATCTCACCTGCATCAGCTTGGTGTCGTGCCCAGTGTAGACAACGATCCCAATCACCCACTGTGTATTTCTCAGCTGAGCACCTCGAAGAAGAATCTGATCTGCGCCCAGGGGAACAGTGCTATGGCAGACAATGTTGACATTAGAAACGAAATGTTCTAAAATGCTTAAGAACTCTACAGCCACAATGTAGTTCCAAAAAGCACTCTGTTATTTAAAAAACCCTTCTCACATTTACTGTATTTTTAGAAAAGTCATTTTTCTAGCAATAGGGATAATTTTCTTATACAAGAACAGCTGGAGCATAGCATTTCAGTTGCTTCTCCTTAAACATCAAACCAGCCACTTCCTACAATTCCACAATCCAAAATAGTAGTCAATGTTTTGGAACTCAGAAGCTAATTTTCAAATCTTATTTAAGACTTTTCTTGATTTAGTTAAGTCCATTTAGGATTCTGGGATGTTTGGAAGTGGTGAGGAGAGAAAATCTGTCTCTCCCCACAACTTCCTTTAAATTAAAAATAGCTTTGTGCATAATAAAGGTTCAAAATATACACAAGGTTAAGAGAAATACGTAGATCTCATCACATACTTGCATTGGCATCTCTCTTCTTCAAAGATAAGTTGCTGAACTTAAAATCTCTAGGACATTAATTTTATTGTATTTGAAGATGGGTTCTCCAAGAACTGTGAATATATTTTCCATAAATGGAAAGTAGCCAACAAGTGGTAAACCCTTTGGTGAAGTGACAGCAAATTGAGGCTATTGATTCCATGTAATCTGAACCATGTTTTTCATGAACACTGGGCCTTTTGAGGGTTTTTGCAAGGCAATCCACTACGTTGGGTCGTTGGTTGACATGAACTAACTTAGATGTATCAGAAGGGCAGCTATAACAGATATAGTGGGATTCTTGATGGAAGTGTACTATCCAAAATTTAATGGCTCAAGGATTCTTATCACCAGGTTTTTGTTTCAGTAAGAAAAAAGCAAAAAAAAAGTCAAATATAAAAACACATTAAAAGAACTTCTAGAAAAGGACACAAGCCCCCAAGAAAAGTCTCCAGACAACATAACTTCTCTTGTCTGTGGAGATCAGTGAGACAGAAGCTTCCATTGCTGGTGGGCTGCTGTGGTACAGAGGCATCCAGGGCTAGTGGCTGCCTGGGCCTCAGCCCTTCTTTCAGGAAATACACCAATGCCACTGGTTCTGGTGAGATCAATCCAGGTAGGTGGGTGATAGAACATCACTCGAAGCCTTCCGTTTAAATGAGTAAACGCTTAAGAAATAGTGTATTATAATTTCCCAAAGAACATAGCAACTCTAACTTCCCTTATTTATAGACAAACTCATGGCTTTTAGACCCAAATGGAAGGGAAAACCTCCTATATTTGTCTCAAGATTTGGGGTGCACTTCAGAGATGGGAGGGGCTTCAGACTATAGCAGATTTCCAAGAAGTTTTTGGGAAACTGCAGGACTGTGGTCTAAGGCAGTGGCCCCCAACCCTCTTGGCACCAGGGATTGGTATCATGAAGACAGTTTTTCCATGGATTGGGGTGGGGAGGTGGTTTTGGGGTGATACAAGAGCATTACATTTATTGTGCACTTTATTTCTACTATTATTATACCACAACTGTGACTGAGACAAAGTGACCAGAGAGGGAACGAGGCATAGACAGAAGTGTTAAATAAAATAATGGATGGGCCTCGTGTGGACTAACATAAAGGTCGGATTCTGACTTAAAGCTGCCACCAGATGCAGCTCAATTGTCACTTGCCACTCACTGATAGGGTCTTGATGGGAATCTGCCAGCAATTGCTTTATTATGGTCTCTGTGCAGTCAAACCTCTCTGCTAATGCCCATCTGTGTTTGCAGCCACTCCCCAGTGCTGGCATCACTGCCTCAGCTCTGACTTACACCATCAGGCATTAGAGTCTCTTAGAGGCACGCACCCTGGATCCCTCGCACGCGCAGTTCACAGTAAGGTCCGTGCTCCTGTGAGAACCTAATGCCTCTGCTGCTGATCTGACAGGAGGCAGAGCTCAGGAAGTAACGCAAGAAAGAGGGAGCAGCTCTAAAAACAGAAGCTTCATTTGCTCACCCCCTGCTGTGCAGCCTGGTTCCCAACAGGCCACCCTCCAGTACTTGGGGGTTGGGGACCCTCGGTCTAGAGCACCCATGTGCCAACTGTCCGTCACATATCCAACTGGGCATGATATAGCCACTGTCGCCTCATCATCTGTAGTGTAGGTTGACTGGAATTAGATGTAAACTCTCCAAAAGCAAAAAAAATACTGATTTTCAATTACAGTAACTCAACATGTTACGAGTTTTCATTAGAGTTGGAATTTCAAAAAAATACATGCTTTTATGAAGGCCGATTTTACATACCCATGTCCATCAAGCCGTATGTTTCCAACAAAATCGTAGAGATGCCTGTTTGGACTTTCACACTCGACTCTGCCAGAAATTCTCATCAAACTGTCAATGTCTTTTATATCCGACGTTACTGGTAAGCCCTGTTTAGAAATTGATGCATACATAGAGACTATATTAAATATATTGCATGGGAAGGGGAATTCCGAATCCACCCAGGTCTATGTAAGAGATCCTATTATTTTATAAGCAATGCTGCCCCTTACACAACAAATACCCTTTTTGTCAAATCATAATTAAGAGATAACTTCCTCTCCACTGGAACACAGGTTTTTGACTCAAGAATAGGGCAACTATTGGAAAGTTCTAAAATATATTCAAGAGACTATACACTGGTCTAAAAAACTATTTTAAAATAACTTCTTAAAAAACTGCTTCCAAAAATAAGTACAGTGTGAATCTGTCTGCTGAATCTCAGAATGTGGCTAAAAAATGAATAAGACTTATCTCCAAAGAGGAGAGTTTGTTCTTTCAGTTCACCGAGAAGGAAGACTGGAAGCAGTTCTTCCGTCTGGCCACCTCGGACTGTCTGCACGGAAGGGCCCGGCCTGCGGTGATACTCCGCATTCGGGCGCTCGGCGATGGCCTCTTTCCCCCCCTCCTCCTCCCACACGTGGTTCTCACGGTTTCCCTGGAACCCAAGGGAGCACCGCAGTGCGCTGCTTAGTAATGGTCCCACCAGCGTCCATGGGACTGTCAAGGAACTGAAAAACTCCTACGGCCACTGACATCGTGGCTGTCTTACTGTCACGGTGCAACGCATAACCGCCATGTTTGAGGTGATGCTGGTGCAAACAAACCTGTTGGGCTGCCAGCCGCTTACGGAATGGCGCATACAGTTATGACAGTACTAGTGCTTGGTAATGCGTACGTTACTGGTTTATGTATTTGCTACACTTTTTATTATTATTTAGAATGTACTCTTTCCACTTACACAAGTCACCGTGAAACTCTGCGGTGTTATTCTGGCAGCAGCCTCAAACACTCAGTGTCTACCTCTCTCGCCTGCATCATTTACCCTCGTGCTTGATTTAGTCCTGTGTTCTTTCACATAGTGCCATGCTGTCCAGGCTGGTGGCATGGGAGTCACAGGCTATACCACACGGTCTAGGTGTGTGGTGGGCACCATGTGGGTTTGCGTGAGTGCACTCCATGATGTTCACGCCACAATGAAATTGTCATGGACACATTTCTCAGAACTATCCCTGTGTTTAAGTGCTGCATGACTGTACATTTTTTAAACGCCCTTTTAAATCTTTAAAAATAAAAATCTCACAGTCCCATTCTGTTAGGGATGGTATGAGAAGTAAGGATGGAAATCTAAACTATTCCCAGAAACCAGAGAGATACTTAGAATGGCAATGGAAACTATGACAAAGCCAACTCATTTGGGCCAGGTGAATAGGAAAAATAAATAAGCTAACACAAGTCAAAGCACTTAGAATTACTGCTATTATTATTACCATGAGAGTGTTGCCTATGCATAAAATATTGAAAATATTACAAATAGTATCTATACAAATAGGACCATATTTAATCAGCCAAATAAATCTAAGTGCTCCATGATACACAATGATACCAATTGATTAAAACCTCTTCATAGTGGCTAAATGAGAAAATGTCTTCAACTGGACAGAATTACCTCAACTCAAGAGAGTAAGAAACAAAGCTATTGATTCCATGTGATAAAACGGCAACAAAGATATAAACATGTATGAGATCTTACCTGTCTGATTTTCAGGTTTGTTTCACCATCTAAGTTGGATGTTTCAATGTAGCACATGGCCTGGGGCTCACTGTGGTTTAAAATTCAAAAGCAAGATGATTTAATGGGGGTAGGAAAGCATAATAGTAACAACTTATTTAATGCTCAGACTCACTGAAGCCTTTTGGTCTAGACGAGCTTTAGTTGCCTAGTTTCTCGACAGTTTTCATTCTGAGTGCAAACCGCTGGGAGGCGGAGCCCATGCATGCCAAGTAATGGGCCAGCATTTCAGCCAGAAGGACCTCACAGCAAATTCCCAGCAACAGCCAGGATAGATCTTCAGGATAAAGTAAATGATTAAATTGGTCGCATTATATTTAAACTGTTCCTCCATATAGACACAACAGACTGTATCTGAAATACAGATCCCTTTTTGTGTCCAGACTGATCTCCAGCACAAAAACAGCAATGAGACGTCTTGCTCACAGACATGTAAATTGGTTAAGGGGAGCGGTTGGTTAGAGAATTCCAGATGGCTGCTTCCAAAAACTTGCATTTACCATACCCTTTTAGAAAAGATGAATAGGATCACAGGAACCAAAATATTTAAGTTGAAGGCTACTTTTAGAAATGGTATGAACAGATTTTGCAGTGAAAGTAGATACATGCTTTTCTCCCCCTCGGTTCTGCTCCTATTATATTTCTTAAAGTTGATTTTAGAGACTTTTGTGACAGCAAAAGTTAAAACTAAAACCAGCCAACTTAGCCAACCAGCCAAAGAGCCATTACTCTTTGACCTGAACCTACAAGGTCCCCTTTACGGGTCCCCAGTGGAACTGTTTTAGTGAAATGTTTTGTGTGCAGTGGCTGGTGGACAGGTTCCATGTTCTCCAGCCCTTTCCACAGGCACCGGGTATAACCTCCCCTTCATATGCGAACTTCCCTGTGTAACAATGATAGACAGGTGAGTGTGCTGCCCCACTGGATAAGCTAATCCAAGAGGTATTGTGAAGTTAAATCAATCTTGTTAGCACTTGGTACTATAAGTGTAATTAGCAAACGTCATATAAGTAACTATGACCATAATCTCTGATCAGCATGTGCATTCAAAGTTTTGGAAAGGAATTTGTAGTTACAAACACCTGGAATTTTCTAATCAACTTCCAATCTGTATATGAGCAAAACAGACTATTCTGAGTTTCAGATATGGGCATTTAGCTTAGTTCTGTGCCCTGAAGATTTGTGAAAATTATTAAGCCACCTGCTCATAAAATATATCACAGATTCCTTCTAAGTAATTTTGCATGCTCTTCAATTTACTCCGTGGGCTTTTTTTTTTTTAAATCCCATAAAAGCTGATACTTTTTCCCAGTTGGAGGTTTTCAATATTTATATTCTCACCCTATCAATTATTCAAAGTTTTATTTTTTATTACTGTCACAACAGTAATGTGGCCCTGGCAATTGCTCCCAATTTGCAATTTACTTATGTATACATTTGAGACATAAATGGTTTACGGATTAATAAGGCACATCTTCTGATAACATAGAAGAATGAGAGCAAACAAATGCTAAATGAACAATGTCGATTCGATATTTTGGCAGTAAAATGCATTCACGTGTTACTTTACATATCCAAGGCCATTCTCACATTAAAATGAGAATAACATTCTAATTCTATTTATACTTTTTTCCATAAAGCAACTTTTTTTAGGACTTCAAATGGCTAGGAAATTAGACAGTTAAATGGCTGATTTCTACTTGAAATGGGGCAAATAGAATGTGCAACTAAATTCAGAACATACTTAATCCCTTAAGACAGCTGTTACTGAAGCAGCTCTTAACAGCGCTACGAAAAGGCAGCAAGATGTCTCAGATAAGGAACCATGCTAGATAATAAATATTTCAGCAAATCATGACATCCAAAACACAAATTACAGTCAGAGAAGCAAAGCAGGCTTCCGGGTTAGTAAGTGGAGAAATGAAACAAGACGCATAGCACAGTGCAGACACCAGCAGACAGCAGACGTGTACCACGGGAACGTGCACTTTGTCACCAGTTACACGGGGGACAAAAATGGATCGGGAAGCATGCGGTGCAAAATGCGCAACAGCAAGCTTTGTGCAGGCGGTCCTCCGTGAGCCCTAGACAAGCCCAAATGACAGTCAGAATTGCTGAAGGGATTCTCTAGGACTTAGAGAAGATGTCAAATAGAAGAATAAGACAAACGTTTAAAATCTCCAACGTTTCTCAATAACTTTATTTCATGTAACGCTGATTAGCATTGTTCAAAATAATGTTCTGGAGAGATATTAAATTAAGCCTTGGTATTTAGGCATGTTGTTAAATAGGAATATATATTAATGATGCCCAGGAAATTGAAATCGACCTGTATGGGCATGCCTCCTGGGCTCCTATTATTGATACAACAGGAGCAGAATCTGCCCACTTGAGGGCTGAACATCACTGAACACTGTGTTCATCAGAGGCCTTTAGAACATCGGTGAATGCCCATAGCAAGAAGTATAAACAAGTTTGTGTTTTAAAGGAAGAGACGTAGGACTCAACCATCTTTGGGTGTAACTGTTCTCTGGTGTAGGGTGAGGATCCACACACACACGTCCTGTACGACTCGGGTCTGACCTGGAGGACACGCTGATGAGATCTGCTGGGAGATGTTCCCCATTGGTCACCTTCACTATTTCCCCTACTGCCACCTACAGGTCCCAGTTTCAAATAATTAAAATGAGGGGAAAAATGAATAACAGAAGAAAAACAAACAAACAAACAAACAAACAAATGGACAAAGGAGACAGAAAGTTTGAAATTGTTATAGAAAATAATACATGTTAATAAAAATGTCTAACGCCGATTTTTTCAAAATTTATTTTGATCAGGTCTAAAGGCACAAGAAATCATGGAATATTTAAGGATTACAAATTTGCTTTTAAGCTCAATTGTCAACTTATCATGTAAGAATTTTTGATTTTTAAAAGTTTAATCACAGCACATCTTGTCATATTAAATACAAAGATATTTTTATATAGAGCTACTTCATCTGAAAGACTTTCCTTTCTCTGATTCCTTGTTCTCATGCCATCTGTTCATATGCACTACTTGTCTGGAAGAAAAGAAATAATTGTGGAAACGACTTTTTAGGAAACTGCTTTGGGAAAACAAAGTATACTATACTAACTCTTCCTCTACATATACAATAAAAAATAACTTTTAAGATTTTGATTCCAAAAATGTAATTGTATAAATGTGAACTTTAATGCATGCTGCACACACACTGATTGTAGCCTTTTGAGTTATTTAATAATTAGTAGTCTAGGTAATACATTATTTTGGGAGGGCAATCCTTTGAATCTGGGAGAAACTTTTTAAAGGCATAAAACAGACATGCTAAGAACCTGCTTGGATATGAATTATAGTTATTTTACTCTATTTTATACTTTCTAAACTCATGTATCTATTTTTTATATGATAAAATTTGTTTCATTTTAAAATAAAAATCAACAAAACACAGCAACTTTCCACCATGTTCATGCTTTAATTTCAAACTACTTCAAAAAGATATACTATTAGTAATCAATCATTTAAAAACATTTAGGAATTAAAATATTATAAGCTGCTTATTGCTACTGCTAAGTTTTGGTAAGTGCAGGTGAAAATCACCATGTACTTATTTTGATAGCAAACAGTAAAGTATAATGAAAATATTAGATTGGGAATTAAGTATTCCAACCTTTACCTAGTCATTAAAGTGGCTAAAAATAAGACTTAAGGTCAAAATTCCTCTTTCTGTGAAATTATGGCACAACTTCACTCACTTCTTAAGTCTAATGCAGACTCAAAAGAGCCCAGTAATGCAAATACCCTTTACAGAAAAAAAAAAAGAAAAGAAAAAATAGAAAGGTGGTATTTTGCTGCTTCGACAAAGATATCTTTCTACAGCACAAGCGTTTACACTTCATTTTGAGTCCTACTACATTACAGAAAGCAAGGAGTCTGGCAGTCTTTTTAAAACTAAAAATCTTTGGAGGATGTTAATCACTGTAGATGGGATATTAAGATACAGAAACTATTTTGATTTACCAATACTGACGGCCACCAGTGAATGTTTTTAGTGTTTAGAAAATAAATCCTGTAAAAATGCTCTGAAGTTTAGGAAGTACAAGCACAGAGCTTTATGGAAGTTTCCGAGATTGGATAGAGGCAGATGAAAAATATTTTGACAACTTTTAACTTAGAAGTAAGTATAAATTTAGGGCAGTATAGTCAGTTCCCTTCCTCTTTTTGAGCATATAAAATTTAAATATTGTAATTAATGGCTCAGCATATATGCTTCTCTCTAAGATAATGGGTCTATAATATGTTTGATTGGGAAAACATCAATATTTTCTTCAATTGCTGAAATGTTTTACTATCATTTTGAACTTAATTATTCCCATGGTCAATCATCCATTACATTTCTCAAACTTTTACTTAGCACGTGCTTAAAACTTAATGAAATACTATTAATTTAAATTAAAAAAGAATCAAAGAATAAGAGAGTTTGCTCAAGTCATCAATTTTCCTCATTTTATAAGATATGAAATCAAGTCCTGAGAGATTAAGATTTTGTTCAAAATCACCAAGCCAAGAAAAGAAACCTGGTTTCCTGCTTCATGAGCAGAGCGGTCTTGAGTGCTCATGATGCCTATGACCCAACACAAGGACAATGAACTCACTGTTAAACTTATTTCCACTCTGCCATGTGCGAAGCCTTCACTTCAGTGTTAGAAACCTACCCTGACAAAACTATAAGCGAAGGAAACTATAAACAGAAAGGTTGAGTTAAAAACCTCATAATTTTGACCTGGCTGGTGTAGCTCAGTGAATTGAGTGTGGGCTGAGAACCAAAGGGTCACCAGTTCAATTCCCAGTCAGGACACGTGCCTGGGTTGTAGGCCAGGCCCCTGGTAGGGGGTATTCAAGAGGCAACCACACACTGATGTTTATCTCCCTCTCTTTCTCCTTCCTTTCCCTTCTCTCTAAAAATAAGTAAATAAGATGTTACAAAAAGACCCTCATAATTTCAATTTTTCTGAAAACAAACCTATAAATAAATGGCATAAAGAGCTCTCAGCTAAAAATATGTAAATACAACTACCTATAGTTACCTTCAACTACTTACAGACTTACTTCTATAAGTATCTGGAAAACTCTTACTTGCTCATTTAAATTGCACAAATTTGTTATATTTCCAATCACCTTTAATAATGACCTGATTAAACAGATTTTGAAAAAAGGACAATGTCCATATTTATATGAGATTTTACAAATAAAACTGTCCAAGGAAATGATGATAAACAACCTCTAAAATATTAAAAACATTTTTCTTGTTTTATATTAAGACAAGTTCTATAGTTTTTAAGCCTAAAATCACTTGAAAGTCACATTCTTTAAACGTAACAGTGCCATATGTTCTGAATACTGATTCAAGAGTATCTCAAATATGAGTTAAACAAAAATGATCTAAATTCAGTAATGGAAAGAACTTTAAAAAAAGCAAAATACTTCAATTTTTTTTGTTGGAAGAGTATGACATTTCAAAAGATCTAATGAGAAAAAAAATCATTCATTTTCTTGTACCAATGCACCACAAAGACCAAAAAACTTTGCAGGGATGTACAAATGCATCATAAAGGAATTTGTCATGAACAAGGACGGCACAATCCGATCAGCAGAACCCAATCCACGTATCGTATAAAATAAATGACAGGGAGTCCCTCAGGAACCAGTGATCCTCCACACAAAAGGATCTGGAGACATCGGATGGAAAGGGGACTCTTAACTGTAATGAATTATACAATATAGGACCTATCATTTATTTTATATGGCAAACATGAAAAAGTCCTTTAATCCAATCAGTTTTTTAATGCTTGATTCAAATTCAGTAGAGAGGCTTAAAAGTCTTCGTTTATTCCTTATTTCCTTGGAGAAATCACAAGGTCAATGCAGGGTAGAGAAACATCCTCTACACTGTTTGAGCATCAGCAGGTGTCTCTACCTTGATGAGAGAAGTACAGTGTCAGCAGGTATATACTCTTTGCCTTTTATTATAACTATATCTCCAACATTTACCTGAAAGAAAACTGGGAATTGGTTAATTAACTGCATTGAAAGATAGGTACAAATATACAACCCATTGTATTTAAATATAGAATACAGTTAAAATGGTTATTGGCAAATAAGAACCACTTATCATCAAAATGGCATAAAATTATCTAGCAGTGAGGCCAAGGATGGGGCTTCCTTTTACAAATGAACACTGGGTTTTTATCAGCTATATATCAGCTAAATAAAATAAAATCTATCCATTTTATCCATTTATTGACATCTCAACTTCTCATATTCTCTCCCTTTGACATAAAAATAAAAAGAGGAATTTACCAAATGAAAGCTTTACCCTGTTTAAGGAAATATCAATACAACTGGAAAACCATCATATATATATATATATATATATATATACACACACACATATATATATACACATATTTACATATATATAATCATTATTCCTTATGATGGCTTTATGAAACAGGTATTAGTTATAATTTATAACTTAGAAAGAAAATGGGTCTTAGGGGCTAAGTAATTTGGCCAGGATGAGTGTGAAATGAAGGGCTGAGACTCAAACCCACATTTCTCTGCCTGCAAAGCCTGATTTTGCATAAGTAAATAGAATGAACCAATCACTGTATTTGAAATAAAAACAATAGCTTAATCTCTTTCTCATTCTACTACCTGTAAGCCTTATTGTGAGCATGGACTGAAGACAAATTAAAGACATGCTATGTTAGAGACTGTTAGAAGTAATTTAAGTGATAGGTTGGTCATGGTGCTTTTGGCAAATAATACAACTTCAACTTGGTCACACTGATGGGCACTTCCATTATATTGTGGAGGTTACCCTCTCTTAGGAGCCAAATGATCCTAGAAACAACTTTCTATTCTTAATCAAGAGAAGAAAATCCTTCTTCTGTTATAGGCCCTTATTTTTGGTTAAAACCTTTTTGTTATTTCCTTTCCTTACTTTTCCTTGAACCTGAAAAATCACATTTTACTATGTGGAGGAAAGTGTGGTATCCTCAGTGGGAATCACAATAGGAAATTATTTCTGGGACAACCCACTATAGTTATTTCATCCGCTGGGGGAGGAACAGGTTAGAAGGTTAGGGGGGGACTTCTGATCTGAGTATGTGTGCTGGTTATCCAGGTAGGAAGCTCTGGATGCCTTGATTCAGCAGAGATGTACTACAGCGGAACTGTGGATTCCCTAAAACTAACAAGTGGCCAGGGATCTTGGAATCCCAACAACCTCCTCCCTCAAACTGGGAAGATAAAAAACAGCAAGTACAGGTGTAAACTGGTCCCTAAAGTAATGTGCGGTATTGACACTCTGATAGAACCCATGAAAGCAAGATGAAGAAATGTAAGTCTCCGTGCCATGGCACTTAGAGGGGATGTTACCCAGGTCACCATTTAATTGCTCTTTAATTGCTCTCTCTATGTTTATGCTTACTCTCTGATTGAACAAGATGCTTCAAAAAATCAGGATCATAGTTATCTATAGTACAGTGTCAGAGTCTAACAGACCGAGGAAAATCTCTAATTGATTGCACTGCTTTCCAACATCTTTATTCATTGTAAGACAAAGTAAGGCTTGTGGTTATTAAACTGAAGACTAAAATAAAATATTAGCACCTTACATGGTGCAATGCAGTTACCTCAGTGGCCTGGGAAAACCAAGGGCTCACCAAGGGCTAAGGCAGTTCTCACAGGAGCATGGGGAACTTTCTTCCTCCTTGTGATGCTCATGTTTTCGATGACTTTCTCAAGCAAATGCAAGCACCTCTTTCTCGCTTTGAGTTCTGAGCTCCTAAGGCGGCATTCCCACTTCCAGCCTGGTGGCCACACAACAGGAACGGGCAGAAGAGAGAGAGTCAAGATGGCAAAAATTCCGTGACCACGTGTTCTAATCGGAAAATGTCATGACAAAGCAGTTTCAGTCCCCCAAATACTGCAGTTATGGAAATATTTAGGGCTTTAGGCCACTCACTCCCTCGAGCCTTTTCAAGTCATGGGCATTATTAGTATTACAATTGAAGATTATGTAAAAGGGCAACTTTATCAAACTACAAAAGACTGATTTAAAATCTATCTTTGTCTAATTGTAGGCTTCAGCATACATTTTTTGTTACCAGGGAATTTTTGGAGATAGAAATTCTTAATTCAGAGAAATGCATTTCATGGTGGAAACTTCAGGGATTAAAGTGGCTTTAAAGAGTGACTTTTGCAAATGCATACAGCCAGCCTACCACTCCATGTTTCTCTACAAAGCTGGAAGAATGTCTTGACTCTAAGATTCTTTACCTGAATTTTTTACCTGTGAACAGGCTCAGTTGCTGACTGGTCCTTGAAGAAATGGGCTTTGTGGTACTGCAACAAAGATAGCTCTTTATATTTCAAGGGCGGAGATGCAATGCCTTGTACAGGTCTTTGTGATTGCAATATTTTATTTTTAAAAAGCCCAGATACTGGCTACTTAACTTTGAGAAAAGGCTTTAGGCCAGTAACTGGAGAGGTGACCACTAATGTTTGAGAGCTGAAGTCTGCCCATCTGTGAATGACTGGATGTACACTAAACAAATTTGTAGGTCCTTTGAGAACCCTTAAAAAGCAACCACAGTAGCCACACATTTATAAAGGCAGAGAAAAAAAAGCCCTGATCTAAAGCCCATTTGCACTAAGATTTATTATATTACCTTGGCATGCGACTCTGACTCTTGGTTTTTGATTTATTGATTTTGTTTTTTTAATTGCACAAAATATTACATAAGCTAAAGAAAAGACTTGCCCCACAATCTGGCTAACCCAACAAGCAAGAATGCTTTCATGCCTGTCCATTTAGTGTTTAATAAACCATTTTTACACAGTCAGCACCTTAGCGTGCACAGCTCTGATCTTTTCACCTGCAATTCTATTTTATGACACAGGAATCCTCATATGTCTTGCTTGCTGCAGTTAGCTCACTGCTTGGGACATATTCTTGATAAATATTTGTTGAACGAATGGTATAAAATTTTTCTGTGTTGGCACAGTATCTGAAATAATAGCTTTTACTTGTCACAAAATATACCAGGATGTAGGGTGTCTTGATTTGTTTATAGAACTCCCTATTGTTGTGTATCCACATAGTCTGATTTTCAGCATTATAAGTAATGCTACAATAAACATTTTTGCACATATATAGGCTTTTTCCTGCTTTGTAATTATTTTCCTAGGATAAATTCCCAGAATCCTCTTTTTATGATTCTCAATATGAAAAGCCAAACTGCTAATCCACAATGACATGTGAATGAAGTACTTTGTAAAACTAAAAATTATGAAGCACAAAGGAGTTTGCTTTTATTTACTGAACAGATAGCAACTGGGACTTCAATACTGTTAAACTTTACAACTTTTCTTAGTAGGTTGAACATGGAGTAGGTTGTTTATTACAGTACTTCTTGCTTACTGCCAACTTTCACTTGCCATTTGTATAACAATGACTTTAATCTTTACCATATTTGGGGCAAATATTTTCTGTATTTCACTTTCGTTGTGGTAGTCATGTTGTATGATAGTGTTAAATTTTGTATAATCAGATTTCACAGATCTTGAGTCACAGATCTTGAGATCTTGCTCTTCTCTAAATATTTATTAAAGTCTTTACTCTGTATGTTTTTCAAAAACAATGTTTTAACACTTAACTCTTTTAGCCAGATGGAATTTATTTTAGCATAGGCTGTTATTTAGATATAAACTGTGTTATTTCTTGAAACTGCTAATATGTGATCCCAAATAGTTTATTATATACCCCTTTTTGTGAGGACTTTTGCCTCCTTCTATACGAAGTGGGCTTTATTTCAAAGCATCTATCCTCTATTGCACTCTGTTCTACTTTATTTTACTTTACTCATCACTATGTATTTTTACAACAGATTTACATATTTTAATAACTTTCCCCCATTTTATAGCTAGTCCTTCCACACTGCTCTTCATTTTTCCAAAATATTTTTTTCTATTTTCTCTACTGTTTAGCTTTGAAATGAAGAAAAAACTTTAGTCACCTATTAGAAAACTAAACAGTTTCTCTGGGGCTGTGTTATATCAGTACTTTGAAACAGCTGCTATTTTTAGTTTTTTAGGAATATGCTGTATTTGTACATTTATGTGAATCTTTAATGCCTCAAATTTTGATTTTATTTACCAAGGTCATATACATATTTTAACTTTATCTGTAAGTATCTCACATACTATTGGTAATGCAATCTTTTTTCACCACATTTTTTTGAATGTGATATTGTCAACAAAAGAATGCTGTTAGTTTTTGAATTCTTAGCTTGAATTCATCATTGAACCAGCTTTTCACTAGTTCCAGTTAATTAAGTATCTAATTGTGATCACTAAGCGACACCAGCTCATGCCGGCTGTGTGACTTTTGGCGACGCTATCACACTCTGCCTCCCTCCGTGTCTCAAAGTGGGGTCTGGGTGGCGTGGCACAGGTCTCCATAAGGAGTAAACACGCCATCACTGTGGGCAGTTTGGGGCCGGTGGTTTAATTTTTTTGTTTGTTAAAAAACTGAAAAAGTAAGAGTTACAGTCATCTAGGTAGATTAGCACAATCTTGGAATAACGGCTGCTTATTAGAAAAATAAGACTTTTTAAGAGGTTAAGGTTAAGACTGAAGTAGAGGATGGTTATGTCCCACTTCATAACTACTTATTTTCTGAAGAAGCACTCTAGCTGAGAAGGTAAGAAACTGACGTGAATGTGCCAGGATAGGAATTTAGGTTAACTACACTGAGAACCCTGGTGACGGAAATATATAATAAAATTCAATGTATCATACTTGGTTATTTCCTACCTGTCTTCCCTCTAAAAGGCTTATATCCACAAATGCCAGACAATAGCATAAAAGAAATAAGAAAAGCGCAATTGAGGGACTTTCCTCTTTGTTACTTTTATGTTAAACCAAAGAGAGAGAGATGATGAGTTTTCAAGTACAGTGGTATCTCAGTACTCGTCATTAATTTGTTTTGGAACTTGCAATGAGTGGCCAGACCGACAAGCATTGTGTGATGGAGCACTTTCTCTTGTGGGGCAGTGTCGTGACTCATACACGTTCTAGCAAGTGACACAAGTCCCGAGCAAGCACAGAGTGCTGAAACATTTTGTGTCATCAAAATGTGACGAGTACAGGGTCTGACAAGGTCTGAAGCCGAGGGAGTACTGGGGTATGACTGTATCTAGAAAGGGAGATGTCAATCTCTGCTCTAGCCACTAATCTGAAATAATGAAAATGCACTTAATTCTGAGGGAATCCTATTCTGGGCAGAGATACAAGGTAACTATGAACATTACAAGGCAGAGTCTGGGACAAGGCCTTTAACTGGCTGGGAAATGCTGAAGTACCATAAGTGACTGATGGTGGCTCCCACCTCAGCCAATCTCAGGAAACAAGTCCTGGGGGGAGTGGCCTCACCTCCCAAAGTCTTTTACCAAGTGACGAAGGCGATTATTCATTTGCAGAGAGTAGGGGTTAAGTGTTCTTCCAGAACTAAGGGAGAACTAACAACAATTGCTTACCTTTTAAGATTGAAGTCTGAAAAGCATATGAACACTTTGCAACACTTGTTAAATGATGTCTTAACTCACTAACGACCACCTTACAGGTCTTGTGAGCATATTAACTTCTTGATATTATGGAACTGATTTCCAGAACATTAAATGATTTTATTCAGTAAGATTTTAATTTTTTTCCTTAAGGAATTAGCAGTACATAAATGGGTTTAGTCACAATATATGAATTTGAAATATCAGAATTTCAAATTCTGAAATTTCAGAATTCGAATCTTTATTTTTACTTGGACAGTAGATAATTAAAGCAAAAATTACAACACAAAACACTTCATGGTTAAAGGAAATCTGTGAAAACAGTACTCAAAATATACCATAAAGAAACCAAAAGTTCTACATATTACTTTTTAAGAAAATAGCTTTTCTAGCGTATGACAATAATATTAAATGGATGTGAGTAACTGAAGACTCCGTGTATGCTTGCAACATTAATTATTTAATAGCCTTCATATCAGTGGAATTCTTGACATTCGCTCATATTATATACAAAAATTACACCTACTGGAGTAAACCTCTATGCATTTTTCTCCTGCAACAAAATAAAAACCTGCTAAAGTAATCATGGTGATAGAAATGTGTTGGCCTCGGAAGCTACTGTGGTGGTCCATTCTATTGTAGGACAGTGTAAAAAAATAAAATGAAAATAAAATAAAACCAATGCATACCTTTTCCCAGTGCACAATTTCCCAAGCACCATTTCTCAACACTGGAAAGAAAAAATGTTACATTTTAAAGACCTTTTTTAGTACTTATCAAAAAAATTTACTTCTGATGAGATGCTCATTTAAAATAAATAGTAATAGCTTCACATAAATGAACCAGTAGTCACTTTTACAGGTCTAAAATTATGACTGCAGGGAAGCGTGAAATGATATAAAGAACTGGAAACAACCTACACGCATTTCAGATCCCGCACTAACGCCTCCCACTGCGGGTGCTGAGGGCTTCCCCCAGCATCTGGGGGGATGAATGAGAGAGTGCTAGGCTGGAGGAGGAGGCCGCAGAAATGACGCGGAACAGGGCCCGACACGCTTAAAAACATGTCACAGGCCATAACTGTAGCAACTTTTTTTTTAAGTCATAAGCATGGAAGGGATAAAGTTCTAACTGGTTAGTAAACATTTATCACGAACCAACAGATAAAGAACCTGCACCTTTGGGTTTATAACAATGCAAAAGAGCAAAAGTTTCCACATTTGGTTTACTGAGAAGTGAAAGAAAGAAGAGACTGCTATTAAATTATGATAGAAGGGTTGATACTGCTCAGTGTTCCACTACCGCTTTGCAAAGTAATGTTACTCAGTGCTTTGTTTTCGCCCCTGTGTTGTGCCTGTGGCTTACTAATGAATACATCAACAAACACTAAGAGATAAAACAAACAAACAAAAACAGGAAAGAATAATGTGAGACAGATAGTTCAGCACTTAGCGCTTCAAAAAGGAACTTCAAGATCAGTCAATAAATTATTCTGATAGCAAATTCCATGAGGGAAAACTAGTATTTGCTTTAATACTGTATTTTGTGGAAACCATGCAGGACCAGATGCACAGTAGTTACTCAGCAAATATTTACATAATGAATAATTTATAAGTACAAAAACATTAGGTTCAGTTTCTTTAGAAGAAACTGAAGTAAATCACAATAATAATCTTTTCGATTTTAAATAGCAAATGTAACATTAATTACAAACGAAGTCTTGAAACCAGTATTGCAATATAAATTATTTTAATCTAAACATAATCTTTTCATGTCCTAAAATTCCCTGGACACAGGGACTATGTCCTATCATTTCTTTATCTCTAGTACCTCATAGCACTCCTGGCACATGACACTAAAATGCTTATTAGACAAATAAATGCAACAACGAGTATCTTATAGTGCATTTTGGTGCAACAACGTCATTAATAAAAATAATAATTCCAAGTTGAAGAGCTAAAATAAAACTATTTCCAGTCCAGTAACTGTAACTAGTGAACAAGTTCAAGTTTCAATTTTTATGGTATTTATTCAATTAGGAGACAAGGATCTGAGTGATCTGCAGGCATCTAAAATTGATCACTGTGCCCTAACATGCAAAACGCTAATGCCTGCAGTTTATCCAAACTGACCCCAGGAGTAAGCCTGCTCCTCAATGTTTTTCCCAAAGTAGTCGGGTCCAAAGCATAAGATTTATGATAAAAAACTCCCTGGGTTAGAGGCCATCTGTCATTGCCTAGCAGTGTCTTCCTCAAAATCAGTTGTCACAACGAATAAAGAATAAATGAGCACTCGGCCTTTTAATCGCTTACCCCAGTGGCTACAGTGTAACAAATCCTCAACAAATACAGCTGGCAAAGTGCTGTTTATGTCAACCATAACCAAGACTGAGTGACATTAAAAGATTTGCTAAAAATTCATGTTAATTTATACTAGAAAAAATCCTGTTCAATGGCATCTAGATAGATCTTAAACACTCCCTCAATTGCAATATTTATTAATAATATTTCCAGTGTTTTTTAAATTTATTTTATTTTAATCGTTCAAGTTCAGTTTTCTGTCTTTTACTCCCATCCCAGCCCATCACCCCAGCCCTCCTCACCTCCCTCCCATTTCCACCTCCACCCCCTAGTTTTTGTCCATGTGGCCTTTATACTTGTTCCTGTAAACCCTTTCCCTTTTCCCCTGAAATTCCCTCCTCTCTCCCCTCTGGTCACTGTCATATTTAGTGGGTTTTTAAAAAAGTGTTTAATATTTCTAAAGTCAAGAGATGTGACATGAAAATGAAGACTTCGGGCTTATCGGGAAAGCTCGGAAGGTCAGCCAGTCAATTCCCACACTGCAACCCGTGCCTGGGACAGAGCAATGGCCACGGCTTCCGGTGGGGCTCACTGCCCAATCACCATGTTTCCTGCTGCTTCCCATAAGTACCGTCTGCCTGGCTCAAGTCTGTGAGGTTTTCTTCTGTTAATGGAGGTGTAACGTACGATGAAATGTACAGATCTTCAGTGTTCTGTTCAATGAGTTTTGAAAACAGCAAACACCTGTGGATCCACCACTGAGAACATGATACAGAACTCCAGGAAGAGTCCTCATGCCCCTTTACCATCCACCCCTCCATCCCCAGAGGATAAATGAGTCATTGTAGATTAGTCTTGTATTTCATACACACCAAACCACACCATGTGTATGCATTTTGTATTGAGCTTTCAACCACCATACCTGAGATTTTGTTTAAAAGATGTTTCCTTCCCCCATTAAACCAACAAGGTGGTAAGGTGGGGTTTTTTCCTGGACTCTGTTCCATTGATCAGTTTGCTGTATCTTCACACCTTACATACCATCCTGATTACTGTAACTTTATAGTAAGTCTTGGATTGAGGGAGTGTAAGTACTCCCACTCCCAATATTTTTCAATATTGTTTTGGCTATTTCAGTTCTTTGCATTTCATATAAATTTTAGAATCATGTTGTCAATTCTTTAAAAAAGACAAACACCCAGGATTTTGATCTGGGGACCACGCCTTTTGATTCATAGATAAGCTGTGTCTCTGATTCTATTTAAGCCTGCAATAATTTCTCTCAGATACGTTTTTATAGTCTTCACTGCATGGGCCATTCATAAGATTATTTCTTGATATTTGATATTTTTATCTTATACTGTAAATGGTATTCTTTATTCCATTTTTCAATTGGTCAATGGTAGTATATAGGAATGTATTAAATTTTTGTACAATGACCTTGTGATTGACATTTTGTTACATTTACTTATTAGTTATGGTGGTAGGTATTTCTTTCTTGTTGCTTTATTGTTGTTTTTGTAGCAATACTTTCTAAGCAACTTAATTTCTATGAACAGTGCTGCATTATGATTTTGGCAGTTTTATTATGCTCTTACACCTGTTCACTGTTCATCTCTTTATTTTTAAATTCTTTTGCTAGTGTTAAAAAATAAAACCTTTGAAAATTGAGAATAATTTTTACTAACTAAACAATGTCCTGTTGGTTTTATGACCCAAGCATGTCAAATTCTGTCAGTTTCCTTTGGTCTTCACTGTCACCCACACCAGCACCCCTATTTTAAGCACCCATCAGCTCCTACCTGGAGGTCTGCATTAGCCACACCATTAGGTTCCTGCATTCCCTCTTCATCTACTTCAAATTTTGTTTCTACTATCCTGACTACATATAATGATTCTGGATATGGACAGTCATTATGTATTCTGATGTACCCATATTTATCTGTATACGTGCACACACACACCCTACATACAGACATACATACAAGATTAGTTCAACCTTTGCTTAAAAGTCTTCATCAACTGACTTCTCTTGGCTCACAAAGTAAGTCCAAGCATCTACAAGGCCTTAGATGAAGAAACAACCACACATTAATGTTTCTCTCCCTTTCTTTTTCCCTCCCTTCCCCTTTCTCTAAAAATAAATAAATAACATATTTTTTAAATGATATTTATATATTAGGGAAAAAAGGCTTAATAGGAAAATACTTTGGCAGCTCCTCAAAAAGTTGAGCACGGAGTTACCTACACAATCCAGAAATTCCATTCCTAAGTATTCATCTGAGAGAACTGAAAACATTTGCGTATACAACAACTTGTGCAAAAATGTTTATTATAGCATTATTCATAAACCGAAGAGTGGAAACAACCTAATGAATGAATGGATAAACAAAATGTGGTATATCTGTACAATGGAATATAACTCAGCCATGAAAATGAACAAAGTGCTGATGGATGCTCAACATGAATGAATCTTGAAGTTACACTAAGTGAAAGAAGCCAGACTCAAAAGGTCATACATTATATGATTCCATTTATATGAAATGTTCAAAACAGGCAAATCCAGAGACAAATCCTCATGGCAGGGGAATGGGGATTGATTACTTCCATGTATGGGGTTTCTTTTGGGGTTGATGAAAATGTGCTGGAACTACATACATAAGCATACACGAGCTGGTGAATGCACTAAACATAATTGTATACTTAAAATAATAAATTTTATGATATGCGATTATAATAAATGACAGCTACATAAAAAGACGTTGGTGAACTATTTAAACACTTGCTTAAAATAGACTTGTCCATCTCACAAGGTCCTGAAATGATTCCAGAGTGAACAGGTGGAAACAGTTATGTAACCACTGGACGCGCCCTCATGCCTGTCCCCGGATGTCAGCTCAGGGCCACCCCTTCCCGCTCTGTAATCTCAACTACCCATCCTTGCCACTTCACAGGTGATTGCTAGTTCACATCTAAAAACACCCACTCCACCGGGTTCCACTTCACAGGGCAGAAGGGTCCCACAGGCTCTCCTGATTTGGCAGACCACGCTCCACGAAGAAGGGAGAAAACCAGTGGCACTCCCACAAAACTGTGGAACACAATCTGCGAGCCTGCCTCACATGTCTGTCTTCCATAGCTGCTCATTTTCCCTCAACCATCCATCACTTCTTTCTGCACATGTGAGCCTCTGCTGCTTGTCCCCAATTACATTTCTGCTCCCTCTCTATCCACCTGTCCTCATGCTGTCTCCCAGGGGACCTCTGCCTCCAGCCCAACGCACATTCTCCTGCTCGCCTCTTCTGCAGTCTCCACCCAGACTTCCCCTCTCAATTCATCACTGAAGAGATCACTGGGAAATATGTCTTACTGCAAAACATTATGTCTAAAACACTCTAAATATATATTCAGTCAACAACATTTTCTGCCA